TCTCTCTCTCTCTCTCTCTCTCTCTCTCTCTCTCTCTCTCTCTCTCTGTGTGTATCTGTTTCTATCTCACTGAAGACATCGAATGACAAGAGTGACTATGCAGATTTGCTGTTTCCCCAAAGACATCCTAACCCTAACACAAGCTGGTTGCCAACCAACCCGCTGCATCCCAGCATAGGTCACCCAACATCACAAGAACAAATCCCACCTGCCCTTCCTTATCGACCTAATGACTTGAAGAACGCGGCAGTCCGGTATCCGAACAACCTTTACCCTAATTTGGAAGCCGAAATTCCACGTGTCCTCTTCCCTCTCCCAGTCCTGGTAATGGTGATCTAAGTCGATTTTTTAGAAGTTTCCTGGTGATTTAACCTTTTGTGAAAATACATGATATCCAAATGTTGTCAGAGCAACGTTATTCCCAAGACATTTCAAAGGTTTTTGTTATAACAAGCTTCCTGTTTTTGATGGGGTCTCATAAGGACACATGATTACATATGATTTTCTCCCAAACTTTGAACAGTTTTGGTTGTTGTCCAAGAGATATTTCTGTTTCTGTTGTTGCTTTTTTCCCCTTATTTGAAGTGGGCAGGAAAATGTCTTTTGATAACTTCTGTGCACAAATCAAATTTTGAAGCAAACTTTAAAACAAAATGTGATGACAGTTGTGGCGGTTGTTATCGTACATTGCAAGGCCACTGTCAATCAAATCTGATCAAAACACACCCACGCAGTCCTGATGAAGCTGAATTTTTTACTTTTTTAACTCCTAAAAAGCTTTTGTTTATTTAGACATCATTACTTAATGTTTTGAAGATATACCTAAGATTTACTCTAAAATGTAATTTGCTCTTTTTATTTTCCAACAAATGTCTGTGCTGTATGTTTCATGTTATGATCTTCAGCCTGCGACCAGAAATAGATGCACAGCCAACAACCCTCCATCCAACCAGCCTCCTCAGGTCCCTGCTCGGACCTCTGTTCCTCCACTGAAGCAGCACCAGGCTTGTATCAAAACGGTCTCTGAGAGTCCCCACACACCTACAGCCACTGAGCACCCCCTCAGCGGCAACATCCAGTTCGCAAAGAACCAGGAGGCAAAGATGTCAGTCGTCTCCAACCTGAAGAACCTCAAGAAGAAGTTCCAAAAGAAGAGAAGCACGTCGCACAAGTACGCAGAGGTTAACATGGAGGCGACTGAAAGGAGTGGAAACGCTGGCAATGAGTACCAGTACATCACAGGGCAGCAGACCGCCAATGCTCCACCATTATCCTACACCTGCACTGATGTGAGACTGACTGATGGAGAGTTACCTTATGAATACCTTCCACCTCCACCTTTCGCTCCAGGCTTCTGATACACTACTGCGACTTTAGAAAAATATTGTACAGATGGATCAAACGCTAAGTGGGTGCAGGACAAAAGCATCGTACAATTTAAAAAGGAGCTTGTTTCAGTCTTTAAGTACACGATTATGAAGGATAAGGTAACGAAAAGGATTATAAAGGTTAAACTGTTGTCCCCGCGTGACTGTAATTAGTGCCAATTTTGAGTGCTTCCTCTTTTATTTATTTGCTAGTTTATTCAACAGATAAATATTGTTACATAAGGAGAAGTAATGTAAATGTACTCTATGTAAGCAACAGCTAGCCTCTTCTTTTGAATTCAGGTTAAATGTTTATATATATATGCCTCTCTGGTAGCTACTGTAATGTATGAAGAGGCAGCAGGAGGAAGTTTGATGCAGAGCTGGTAAATCAGAAATGACATGGTTTATGTCAGCTGCTTTGAATACAGGAAACTTAGCATCAGGTGCAGATCTGTTATCTGCAACATGACAGGAAGAAACTGCTGGTTAAACTTTTTTCAGAAATAATACAGGTGAGTAAACGTAATTTCAGGCTGCCTTCAAACATCTGGCCGGGGACAGCAGATGAAAACTAGCCTCTCTGGCTAACTCCGGCTCACTTACAGTTTGACTGTTGATTGGAAATAAGTTTACTTTTGCAAGGGGTAAACACGTTTCATTTTTACTGCAAATGGCTTTGTCAGACCCTTGTTATCATTATTACGAAGCATCTAGAGACCATTTGCTCTCAATAATATTTCATATTTGTACAACTCGATAATATATCTGTACAAAGCATCTCATTTTGTTACAGCTATTAAATCACCTTTGAACAATCTGTTATGGCTGTTTTGCAGTCCCTGTTTTATGGCCTTTAATGATCCGTCTGTCTGCAGTGTAAAACGAGAGGCTTGTGATTTTGACTATGACAAAGCAGAGACCCACCATTTTCTTCACCCATACTGGACATGTATACATCATTTCTGTTTCTGCTCTGTCTCTATGCCGTTCCTTCAGTCCCCTCTCCTATTCTTCCTCCCTTACTTCCCTTCTCACTGTGGTCATTGCATGTTATGTCTTCATGTAATGCACTCGTCACTCAGTGGTGGAGTGCATGCTGTGGTGGTGTAATGACCCAATTTGACCAGGAACCCATCGACGCAGCAGTCCATTTCTATCCCAGACTTTTATGTGTCATTTTACTGTAAATGTTCTCATAATGTGGCAAAAACTATTTTAAGGATGTAATGACCTGCTTGTTAATTTCAATAATTTGATCAATTATTGAGTCATTTTTCAGTAGGTTTGGATATTTTCAACAATAGAAAAGGTTGTCAATGCCCTCACACTAAACTACTAGAAACAACTTGTGTCATTATAGGGTACCATCTAGTGGCAGTAAACCACACATACATGCTTTTATAATGTAAAAGTAACTATTTAAAGTCTGCATTTAAATGTTTACCATAGTCATAATCTGAACATTTGTTTGCTTAAATATTAAAAGTAACTGTAGATATTGAAGATGGAAATTTACCGCAGTCGCTTATCCACTGCTGCTATGTTTACACAAACACATCACGAGGGAAAGCTAAAACAAAAGCTGTCTGTCTGTTTATCTTAGTTTGTTCATCTAAACTTCTCTGCGGACTGAGACAAAGCAGCCAGGAGGACAGAGGACAGGAGGAAAGATATACTAACTGATATCTGTGTTCTTCATTATTATTATGTATAAACCTCACTCAGGAATGTTATACATTTATTGGCATTTTAGTTTGTTTCCAGTGAGATATTAATGACTTTACGTTGTGACTTTGCTGGTGTAAAAAATATTGTTGCTGCTCTAAAAACAATATTTAGTTTTGTCTATAACTTATAATTCTTTTCTGGATGTATTTGTTTTTGTTTTTAATCCTATATGTGTTTTTAAAAGCAATATTTAGTCATGAAAAATAACAGAATATTGATAAGAGTAGCTCCTTGTAGTAATAAAATCCTAACGATACCTATCTCTATCAGAGGGTCAAGTCAGACACGCTTAGAAAGGAAGGGGTGAACGGAGGGCTATGTTGTGGCTTGCAATCTGCAACCTCACCACTAGATGCCACTAAATCTCAATCTGTCCCTTTAACAAGGGAATTTTATAAAATATGTAATCAAGGCAGATAACGCTCGCTGTGACACTTACTAATACTTAAATATTAGCAAAATTAACTTTTAAAAAACACAAAATGTATGTATACGTATGTCGTTGCTCTATATGAATATCGTAAATCGATTAATATATTGTCTAATAACTATCAAAAATCGCAATTCTGTCCCTCTGTTTTTTACCGATTTGTACCAATATCTACGCATGCAAATTGCCAACCAAGTACTTCCTGGAACTATGTGAAGTCTACGGGAATCAAGTGACATTCAAGCATTTTGACACGACTCTCTCTTTATACGGCTCTGTGTGAATGCAGTCACTTTCCTTATCGATCATGTGCAACAATGCACATGATCGACTGTCTTCTGAGGGCCTTCAAGGCTTATCACGTGTGGTGATATTATTTATCTCTCAGAATATTTGGTAAAGTAGATGGATGGAAGTATGCAGAGTCACAATGGAGATCTCTATTTGCCATTTCCTTTTAAGGAAGCCCCAGCCCTGTCTCGGGACACAAGAGAGGGGGGAGCAACAACCCCATGGAGAGTTGGATTTGTAACACATGTTTTTACATCGTCAGTGGGGGCCACAGCGCAACTGTTAAATACCGCCCTCCCTGGCTGCCCCGTGCTTCAAAACGCGCTAATCGGATAGGCTGCGTGGGGGGGTAAAGTGACGTTATCTGTGGAGCTGTTGGTTTCCAGCCAGGGATCAGCCTGCCGTTACTCATGGAGTGATTTGGGAAGTTGCCCCACTCTTGAGACTTCGTTTCTGTGACTTTAACAACAATAGTTGTTGCAAGTTTCTACATTCGTTACCTTAGAAAGCGTCGAAGCGACACCATGTCCGCGGGACAGGCGTTTGCTGTTGTTGTGGTAAGTTATGGATTAGGGCTGTGTCCATTCAACGGGTCTCTATTGTTCTGTCCGACGTTAACGCGAAACGTATCAGTACAAAACTCTGAATTAACCAACTAATGTTGGCTACGGTTAGCTAAATCACATCAACTGTAATGTTACTTTCTTTGTTTAGCTGAAGTGCTACACAATAAAGCTAACACATCTCCTTCGGTTAAACCAGCCGCCCTTAAAGCCGTGGTGCACCTGTATTCTAACCTTTACGGTAATGAGAGCGAGTTTACAGGACGCGTTAGAGACTTTATTCTGCTAGGTTTCTCTCACTTTTCAAAGAAAGTTGTTGAAGTACGAAAGCCTTTCTTCAAGAGAGGCTATGAAATGTGAATGTTTACACGCTGCGTACATTACAATGTATCAAAATGACAGTTCGTCTCTTACACATGAGCGTCACCGTCGGTGTGATTCAGTCTTCCGGTTGACTTCCAAAGGAATATGTTTCTTTTGTTGACTGAAATACAAAGTTGCAGAATATAAAGTTGCAGTTGGATTGAATTGTGTTTTTTTGCGATGCCTTCAAATGATGCAGGAATTTGTCACAATTGTAAATGGAGCTTTATGATTAAGCCAAAGAGCTGGTAGATATGACTGGTAGCAGGGATTTCTCCAGGTCAGAGTTGCATCGATGGCATGTGAGGGGTGGGGTGCAGAAGAGCGTTAATAAAGCATGCAGGTTAACTTCCTCATTGTGTTTTTTGGTCTAATATAAATCCCCCATGCTTAATACTAATAGGATTTAACTAAACACTGTCTCCTCTGGGTCCACATATAGAAACAAGTAGGGTTATATAGTTTCCTTTTTTTGATGATTGAGTGACAAAGGGTCTACCACTCAGGCGTACTGGGAGAGAAAAGTGTGTTGAAGTGCCGGCAAGTCCTCTCTGACTTGACTCTGTATTAAAAGAGTTCCAGACATCCTCAGCCTTCATCGTGTCAGCCACACCACTCAGTGAACGTCTGGTTATTCATCACCACACACACACACAGGCAGTCTTTGTGTTGAGGGGTGTTGTGAAGAGCGCTGGTGTTGTGAAGAGCGCTACTGTCGGGAGTCATCCATCCATCTGGTGGTTAGTGAGCCTGCAGCTGCTTGTCAGTGTCAAGGGCAGGGCTGCACTGATGAAGTCTCTGTTCCAGTGCGGACTTCAATCACTAGAGAGCAGCCTGTGAAACCCACCGTTTGTCTTGCGTTGAAATGTGTCCGTGGTGGATAAATCGGTACCTCACTGGACTGTAATTTGACTGTCTACTGTCATTTTCCTCCTTTTCAATTGCATTTGCACAATATAAAAAAAAACCAACTAAAAATCAACACATCTGTTATATAAATCCAAAGTCCACTTGTTTTCTGATCCGAGACTTGTCGGTATCAGTAGTTATAAACTACTAAATGTGTTTTGTGTGTCAGAGTTTATACATTGACCGGGTAATGTCCTATGAAAAGATATATGATTTAAACATTTTGTTTTCTGTTAAACAGCAACGAATTGAGATCCGGAAGTTGCGACATGGAGAGAACCTGATCCTGGGCTTCAGCATCGGAGGAGGAATAGACCAGGACCCTGGACAGAACCCCTTCTCTGATGACAAGACTGACAAAGTAAGTCTGTGTCTGTCTGTGTGTGTGCGCGTGTGTGTGTCAATCAGCTGCTTATGTACTGCAATTGGGTGAGTGGGTGATAGCGGCATTAATATTTCTTTATTTACCAAGACATTTCCAGATATCTGAGGATTATTCCAAATCAAGTAGTAAAAGGTTAAACTGATGTTCGTCTCATTAAGTCAAATATACGTCAAATGTATTTATATTTTAAGTATTACAAACTAAATCCTGTAATTCTCAAAGAGTTTGGGGTTAAACAACAACAGAGAAGTGCTTCCCAGTCTTACATACAACATTAAGTACAGAAAAGGAAGATGCCAGTATTACTTTGGTAATTCACACCAGGCAGAGACGGCGGTTAAAGTGGCTCCGCTATATGACTTTTTAGATTCTCTCCAGATTTTAGGGTCATATTTGGAACACAAAGCTTAAATCCTAATATAGTATAACCCCCTACCTGACAGTTCTTCTTCTCCTGATCACATCCCTGACCTGCGTGAAGCGGCTCTCTGCTGAGCTATAAATGAGGTACATGCCTGAACACATTACTTGCAGCCTCAGGTGGGAAAAAAACCAGACTCACCTAGCTGATGTCAGAGAAAGGAATACTGCAGGTTTACACAAAGTCGTGTCTTACCTGCTCACTCAGAGATGGAAATGTGCCAACAGATGGCAGGCTCAGATACCTTGTTACAGAGAAATAATACGTGAAGACATTGGCCTCTGCCTTTTTGTCCTTTCAGGCTTTCCTTTAGATATTCTTGACATGTTTAGGATCATTATTGGAACACTCACACAGAGCTTTTCATGTGCTCTTATCTAAAAGTTATTTGAATTTAGATAATTAAGTAAAAATAAAAGAAGTTGTTACTTTCACATGCTGCGTTTTTCACGCCGTCATATCCGTTCGTTGTGACTCACCTGTTTTTGGGGCACGTCGACCCAACAAGATGGAAAAATCTCAATAAGCAAGTCCACCGCAGGTCATGTGACAAGAATGAACCAATCAGCTCCACAGTACTTTCGTCACCCTTTCTGTCCAAAGACATCACAACGTCCTGTTGAAAGGTCAGCCTAACAAAATACTTTTTCCACAGACAAATCGAGCAGTAAAGCTACACTGCTGGGAATCCATTTATCTTTGTTTTGACTTTGTTTTATCTTTGTTTTGACTTTGTTTTGACTTTGTTTAGTTTAGATTTTTAGACGCAACATGTGATTGGCACCAAACCACACCCGTTTGTGCTACCAATAGAATTGATTAATAGTAATACTTTTAACAGTGAAAGAAGAATAATCCAAGGATTAAGATCGATATTATATATTCTATTTGTTTTAGTTGAATGTTATTATTTCGAGGTTCTCTTTTCTTAATTCTTTTTTCGGGTTTTAGATCTATTTATTCACATGTGATCCTATAATATAGTGAATCTGTTTTGTTTTCCAAAGGGCATCTATGTGACCAGGATAAGTCAGAGAGGACCAGCAGAGGAGGCGGGCTTGAGGATGGGAGACAAGATAATGCAGGTGTGCAGTGAGACCGAGCTTTGGTGTAGATCCACTAGATGGCACCATGTGTACACTAGAGAGTTGGATGGGAGCTGTGCATCAGGAGCAGTGCTCACCTTGTCCCACTGTTAGTCATCTTAAATTAGAGAAAATGGCTCCAGCTCTTCTGACACAAAGTCCTTTTCTTCCTCCCAGGTGAACGGCTGGGATATGACCATGGTGACCCACGATCAGGCTCGTAAAAGACTAACAAAGAAGAATGAGGACGTGGTGCGGCTATTGGTAACCAGGAAGTCGTTGGAGGAAGCTGTCAAACATTCGATGGGCAGTTACCCCAGACAGTAATGACACTACTTACAACCACAGACTGATGCTAAGGACCCAACACACTCGTATACCGAGACTCCCACACATTCAGATGATGGTGTCACCGCGGCCTTTATCACTACGTCAATGCAAAAATATTATGCAGACCACATTAGATCATTTAATATCGAGGTCCGGTGCTTGAATCTGCACAGTACAGTCATTAGACAATGAGAGGGTGTTCCTTCCATACACACTCGCATACGAAGCGATCTACGGGCCTCAAATACATTTAATCCTAATCTGATTTTCAGATTTGATTTTCTTGAGTCTTTAGATCCACTTTTGGCATCCAGTTATAATGTTCCAAAGCTTACATGATCTATTTTGACACATCTTGAGCAAAATGTACATTTTTGCCAACTTTCAAATTGTTCAAGTATTATTAAGGATTAAAAAAGATTTAACAGTTCATGCAGATATTCATCATAATAATGGGTTTTTTGAAGACCTTTTCATAAAACAATGCTTCCATATCGCTCTTCTACACATTCACTCTAAATTGATTATATCACAGCATTCTTGATTATTCGTTCTCACTTTGGATATATTTGCCAAATGTCCTCAAATCCATGCTTGATACAAGCTTTTTGGGAGCAATCCTACTCTTTGATCCTTTTTGCCGACAGCTGACTAAAGTTGGTCTTGATGGTTTGGATCCGGTAAGAATGTTCATTGGTGTTGAGCATGTCATTAATGATCAGTGTTTCATCTCATTTGACTGAAACAAAGTGTTTTGCTATCATTCAGATTACAGCACAGAATGCCAAAGTACATGCCAGGCCACTGTAAAGTGATCCAAAGTATGTAAAGTAATATTTGTAATCTTTTTTTCTTTTTTTTAACTAATGGTACACATTCTATACAACAAACCATATACCTGTATGCACAATGATTTAATTCATACTGATACTAATTATTCTTTTACAGATGTATCTTTCTGTTCTATTTGTTTTTTTTTTTATGTCTAACATGTTTGGGAAAGTAACATCTCTCTGTGTGTGCGTCTGCTAAAGTAACAACAGCGTTCAAAATGCTTCTTCCAAGTTACACTACTTATGTCTCATACAAACAACATTCCACAAGCTGGACCTACTTCTGGATTATTTTTCTCTGATCATTTGCAATGTATTCACTGTCAAGTGTTTCATCTTTATCAGGTTCAGCAAGGGGCAGTTGGTCATTTGCTGTTTTGATACACGTAATCCCACGAGTTTCACACTGGAATCAGCTACATTCAGTTGTTTATTGTCGATGACCAAAAGTCCAAGTCGACACTGTAAACATGAACCAAGCAGGAGTGAATGCACAGCAGCCTTACATTAATATTTAATAAGTTTAATGAACCTATTTGTTTTTTCTATTTTCTGCAACACAATGATTTACTGCCTCTGATACATACGGCATTAATAGCAGATGAGTGATTAATTACTAATAAACATTGACAATATGTTGATTTTGAGATTTTACAGTACTGAAAACAATAGAAAATTACAACACTAATCTTATAACCTTGGGTGAGCTTATTGGCTCTTTTTTATTGTTATGCTAGTGGTATATATATTTAGTGTTGAATGATCCCCATGTTGGGAACCACTGCTTTACAGAATTTCAATGATGCATTTAGAGACGTGTACAACATGAGACAAATCCCTTGTAGTATTTCCTGTATGAATTATATCAGACATGTAAATGTGAACTACCAACAGAGCGCAAAAGTTTTGCATTTGATTGTATCCAGTTTATTATATGAATTTTTCTCAGATATTAAAAGACCGAAAGCAAAATATGCTTCACGTCCTTTTTATTGATGAAGCACCAATAACATACGATCGCACAACAGTCTATTTTGTACCCCTCCTCTTCACGCTGCAAAGCCTTTTTTTTTTTTTTATCCTACAGGCCCTTCAAATAGCTTCACGTCGCCCGTTATAAAGTAATCAGCTGACATTTCAAAGTGAAGAATCTATTCCCTGACCTTTCTGTGTTTACCGAGGCATTTTGATACAGAGAGCGATCTCTACTTTCATCTCTTGAATATGTGAGCCTGGAACCAATCACTCGCCTTTGAACCGAGGACACTGGGGGAAAAAAAGCTATTGGCAAAATGCGACTCACGATGAAAATAGCTGATTTTGATTTTGATGTGCTGCAGCAGTGCATTTTGATTTGGGCTTTTAGCTTGAACTCCTTCATTTTCTCTCCTAAGTAACTGCAGTAGAACTGAAAGAACAATCAAATTAGAAACGGATCCAGTTTCTCAACGTATTTCATCATATTTGATAAAGGCAACTGCAGCTTGTAATTGTACTGCTAAAGTTAGTTATTTGCTTCGTGATGGCAGGTGGTATACGATGTAAAGTAGTATATAGTGCTGAGCAATATATTGATATTTGAATTAATATCGTGATATCGATTAGATATCGTGTTAGATTTTGGATGTCGTAATGTCTTCCTGGTTTTAAAAGCTGCATTACACAACTTACCATCATTTGCCTTTTTATCCCCATTGCTGATTATTATCAAAAATCTCAATGTGTAAATATTTTTGATATAGCACCAGCATCATTGCAATATCGATATGAAAGTATTTTGTCAAAAATATTGTGCTGTTTGATTTTCTCCATATCGCCCAAACCTAGTAGCATCTATTATCTCTTTTCTGACGCCCAAACATGGCTGAGCTGAATTTGCTGCGTAATGTTTTTTAAAGTCTTAAAATAACACCTGGTCTGTGTCACATCATGGGAGAGGGTCGATTTAGGGCAACGCTGTGCTAATATCCCCCTTTGAGAAATAATTGATGAGCTAACCGTGTGTGTGTGTGTGTGTGTGTGTGTGTGTGTGTGTGTGTGTGTGTGTGTGTGTGTGTGTGTGTGTGTGTGATTTTTTGTGCCAGGGACAGAGGGAAGCATGCTCCATTCCACTTGCCTGGGCATCATACTATTATATGACACAATAAAGTGGATGCACAAACATCTTGGCCCGGTACTCACCAATACCACAACATGTACACATTGCATGTTGCTAGGTAATTAATGGGCAGCTATAAGCGGGAGCAATGACCGGGACGAACTGCGCGCTATAATTTCACCAGGATTTACAAATACTCTTACTTAGATTATTAGTTATCAAACCATTTATAAACTCACAACTGCAAAACTCACATCGAGCTAAACAAAACAGTTGATATTTTGCACCAGAAGAATGCAAAAAAAGATAACGCAGAGATAAATGTTCCTTCCTGTAGGCGGGTGAATAATTACACTATCTAACCGCGGATCATACGTGATCCTTGCCTCCCACGATATGGCAGCATAATTGTGTTGCCATGGCGACGCAATCTGCTGCTATCACTTTGGTCCGACACCAGATTGCAACCAGAGGGAAGTCCACCGCTTCATCCGCGTGTCTGGTGCAATAAAGGGTTTGCTGAATGTTTGCGGTGAACGTACCGGTATGCAGAGGTTATCGGTGTGCTTTGATTCTGCTAATGAAGAGCAGAGAAGTGTGATACTGTTGCAGAGTGTATTGTTCACACCTACAGAACTTTTAATTTCCAATGATATCAAATATGCATATGTCATGCAGCTGTAAAAGAAGAACCCGTCATATTGCGATTGAAGGTTTCACAAAGTCATACGGCTGCAATGACTCAACCATCTCAACACACGGTCCATTTAGCTGTTCTGTAGCTTTCCATTGTATCAGACAACCTTCTTCAGTTCAGCTTTCATGGCATTGCAGATTTTTTTAAATTTCGTTTCTTTCTGAGCTCTCGAAGGACTTCTTGTCTGTTGTGGCTTACTATCTCATCACAAGTTGAGCAGCTGTTCTGGAGCTTTCGATCTTATTACATGATCTTCCTTCGGCAACTGGAATTTAATAAGTTGTCTTTTAAGCCAATGTGGACAAGAAGTCCTTAAAGTGCTCAGAAAAATGGACACTTAAACATCTGTAGTTCCACAACAACTGCGCAACATCATCGGCTGAGGAAGATCTTGTATTTTGAATGGAGAGCTCAGGAACAGCTTCTAAATGGACCTTGTGGATGTGGATCAATCTCAGCTGCTATGAAGCTTTGGAACAAGAAGATGCATACTGGCGGCGTTCTTTTATACAAGTATCTTCATTCAGTAACTTCCCCCCCCAAAGTCACATTCTTATTATGTCCTTAGCTTAAGGACATCTGCAGAACTTCCTTTTCAAAGTATCCCCAAAACCCCACCAGGACATCACATTTCCGTTTGTATATTTACCCCACAGGGGTTTGTTCTGCTTTTTCTGCTTGTTTGTACAAAAGCCTCCTGGTATTTACCTGTAACCTGCACTTCCTCTCCTCTTCAAGATAGACAGTTTGAATATGTGTGTTAATAAAAAAAAACGCAAATATGGTGGAGCTTTTTTTTTCAGTTTGTGGTAGGCTTCATTGCAATGCAACATTTGTGAACGTGAACATGAGTGGGTGTTAGAGTGGAAGGCTGGCTGCCAAAGGGTTACAAATGCATGGTTACAAATGCATGAATTCCCCAGAGTGGTTCAGAGCAGTAAGTGAGCGAGCAATGAGTACTACTGTGTGTTTATACTACAGGCTCCCTCAGGACCCAAAGCCAGCATTTAATAAGCAGAATGGGTGATACTATCAATGTGTAGGTAATACACGTTATTATAAAGTGGCTGTTTCTTTTCTCACATTTATCTAATTATAAAATCCATTAAGAAAGCAGTTTATTAAGATTATTTCACACAGGCAGCAGGTGGTTTATCTGTATCTTTTTTTTTTCTCTCCTCAAGCATCCTTAACCTCTCCTCCTCCCACGCAGACCTCCCAGGCGCTCTTCTCCGCCGGAGGCTTCATGGACGAGCACAAGCCGCTTGATAGTAAAACGGGAGATACTGTACTGGAATTGATGAGAGAAGATTCAGTGTGTGGGCAACACTGGTTCATTATCGGCTGCGTTGTGGAGAGAGAGAGAAAGGCATCCACATGCTGGTGTGAGGAGCGTCTTGGACGGGCAGAGGTATGTAAGATTTAATTTGTATAACTGGTCATTTTTGTACAGCTAATAAATGATCACTGTCTAGATAAGTCTGACACGGTTTGAGTGAAAGTTGTGTCAGAGGTTGTAAAGTTTGAATTCCTGTTTTTGCAGTGTCTTCAGCGAGGACATTCAGGTGAAGATGGAAGGATCTGTCTCCTCATGACGGCTTGACACAACTTAAGGCAGAAAACGGTATCTGACTTCATCTTTTCTTTCTATTGCGGAAAGTTTCATGTAGTTAATGCATTTTCATAAGAGGATCACAAGAAATAAAAAAACAACTAATAAGAAAAGCTGTTTTAGTGTGTTAATGACTGCATCTATATATCTATATATCTGTATATCTATCATGATATTGTGGTTATTTTGATGCATACTGGGTTGTGACAGAACAAACAGCTCAACTGACTATAAATTAAAGGGATGTACTATCTATTAAGTGTTGCACTTCCATACATTTGGGGAACTTGATTTGAGGATTTAAAAATGAATGTTCAAAAACAAATGCAGTAGTGTCGGAGATCTTGACTTTTGCCCCTGGTCACACCTCTCCCTCTTAACTGCAACTTGAGGCGTTCAATGGTGAAATTTGAATGTAATTTACATACTCAGGTCTGATTGGACAGTTTCTAAACCATCACTCCTCTAATAAGGTAATTTCCTGAGTGATGTTTGCATCGTTTTTTGGTTGTCGCTTCTCTTATTAAAGTCCCAGTAGCTTGTTAAAGTTATATCGTAGAGAAATTGGCCGCGACAATTAGCTTTTTGTCCGTTACTTTAAAGCACTCGTTAGTGAAAAAGCTTGATTATCTAAATGTCAACATGGCGTTTTGCTCCGAGATATTTGTATTTGGGAACTTGTGTTGAGCAGTCTGTGTGTTGCTAGCCAAAATTAGCATTCCAATTAATAGCACAATTGTTAATGTGAGTTTCGGCTGCACCTAGCTAACAAAGCTTGCTAACTTAGCGTTTTTTAATGCTACCTGCACTTTCCCCCACCGAGACTCGCTCTTCCCTAGCTCCACCCTCTCTTCCAAATTTGGTCACTTCTAGTTCCAAAAAAACAAGATGGCGACGGCTAGAGCCACCCACTTTGAGCTTCACTTTGGCTCTTCAGAAACCAATGGGTGACGTCACAGAGACTATGTCCATATTTTATACATTCTACGGTCAAATCCCCTATTTATTTTCTTGTGTGTGTAAGTGTGTTTATTTTAGTTTGTTTACGTTTTGCTTCTTGCTTTTTGCATGACCATAAACGTCCGTGTAGGTCAAGCTCTAAAAAAACTGAATCCTAAAAATTCTGTTCAGAAGACATTTTCCTGAGTACTCTTCGCGATGAGCAAACTGATTTACATTTCTAAAAGTGGTGTCGCTTCAAATCCAAAGATTTTGGTCTGGATGTTGTATTGTGTACATCACAATGTCAATATGTTGTTCAAAACGTGGCTTGTTGTACTCTCACATGAACAGGGTTATGTGCAAAGTGTTCAGGGAAGTAGATCATCAGTAAAGAAACTTTGCTGAAGGTGCAGAGTCGGATTAGGGGATGGAAACTAGATGGCTGGATTTGACTTTTAATGGACTTGTCGTGGACTGAAAAAGGTTGGCAGTTCAGTGTGCATGTGCGCTCGTGTCTGTGTGTCTGTGTGTGAGAAGGTCAGGCCATATGAGAGGCCTTTTCATGTCTGTCTGCTTATGAGCGCAGAGCAGTGAGACGCCCTGTCATTGTGCCTCTCAGCTCTGGACACTCTCACACGCCGTCCTGACTCTCTGTCTACCGTTGACAGTGTTACCTGACTTTGATCAGACTGTTTGACACCATGAGTGGTGAGTAACCAGCGAGCAGTTCACTGTATTTTGCAAAGCTTAGAAGCTTCTTCTACCTCTATAGTTTGTGTATTTATTTCGAGGGTACTGGATATTAGCAGGACAGAAAAAATGCATCTTTTTTTTGATTTTTGAGATTGTAGTACATTTATGACAGCATATAAAGTGTACCTGCTCTCATATTGAAGGAACCATTCTAGTTTTATGATATCAGTGAGAACAAGCTTTGTGCATAAAATAAATAAAATGAGAAGTTATGTCTGAGATATTTCTGAGAGTATCATTATTGTGATACAGCAGCGCAGATAAAGAAAATGAGGATTGACTGTAAAACAATATTTGAATGTGTATATTACAGCTTGAGATAAGGTCCCTGTGTCCTAGTATGTTTTAACATGACAGTCTGAAGTGGCTTTCTGTTGAGGTGTGAAATGTGCTCCGTCTCCCAACAATCCTGATGCCATATGAGTTCAACTTTAATTAAATGTTTGCTAGTGTTTAGTGGTTGTAGATTTAGTGAGATATGTTGTTGTAATCTGTATAACCATCACAGGTTTACTGATTCTTTCCATTACTATTATAGACCATCATTTCCTTGCTGTTAGCTTAATGTTTAAATGTTAATCACTGATCTGTCCTCATTTATTGCTGGATGTTTGGGTCGTCAGACAGAAGCAGAGCGCTGCCTGCAGCCTGGCCAGGACGGAGCAGTTTGAGCCAGAGTTGGTGGCTTTAGACTGGAAGTTAGGTTGCTGCTCTGGCAACACAGCTGCTCAAATGAAACTCAGTGACAAATATAATAAAACAGTATAATACAGGGACTAGACTGCAGTTGATTACTCAGGCTGTGAATGATATAAGACTATGTCTTCCAAAATAAGAAATTCTGGCAGTGTTTCTGTTCATTTGGCAAACAAATTAAACATTTCAAAATTACACGCAGGTCACAGTTGTTGGTCGGTGCCTTAACACTGGAATATTCAATACTATATTTATGTATTTACAAATCTGTGTACTGATTTCAAGTCTACGTTTAGTCGCTGGTATGATTCAAATGATAAACTCATCTCATCATATTGTCCAATGAAAATGATCAGAATCAGGGATTGTTGGAGTATAGGTAAAAGAAGGCTGTTGCTGTACTTTACATTAGTGTATCAAATTCGTTTAAGCATGGCGGTTTTCTGTCTTTATGTTAAGCAGCTGATGTTTTTCACAGTTAATTCCTTCACTAAGGCTTCATTGTTCCTTCATCGTCTTCTTTACTGGGCTCACACTAGACATGCACAGAGGCATGATATTACATTTCGTTGTCGTAAGTGGTGTTAGACCATTTCTATGCTAATGTGGAGCTCTAGAAATGGTTAGTGGAGACGCTTATGATTTAATTAATGCACCTTTTCATCCACCCTCATCCATTCAACACTCAGAAATGATGAAATATAATCACCAGCACTCTGTTGAGTCCTTCAGACTTGTTTTAAATCACTATGGCTGCGTTTTACGTTTGAACAGATGTTTCCTCCACACACACAAACACACACACGCACACAAGTGTGAACAGTGCTGTGTGAGAGCTGATTATTCTGCTTCTGACTCCGAGCTAAATAATGGGCTTGAATTATCCAGGGTCATCTCACAACCTATAAGAACAATAGACAAAATAAAATCAATAGACAAAATAATTATGCAAACGGAATAGATGAAAACTTTAGAGATCCACCTGGGAAAAAAGGAAAATGTAAAGGTGTTGGACGTCAGAGTGATTATATTGTAAAGGACAAGCAGATGAAGAGGCTGGCTGTATACTGGATTGTTCTTTAAGAGCAGGTCTGTTTGCAAAGTGTGATTCGGAGAAAACATAGATAACCTTGATAGATAAGGAGAATTGAGACCAACGGCCACGTGCGACGTACGGACGGCTTTGTGTCGGTCAGCAGAGGGAAACACGGTAAGACTACAGAAGCTCAATGTTTTCAACTTTAACAGTGTTGGTACAGCTCTTATATATTGAAACATATTTAAAAAATTACCACAGTTAAGATCTAGAAACACAGACAATATTTACTTTGAGTTAATACAGTTTTTAATACGTAATTAAGGAACCAGACATGTAGCTTGTATTCAAGGTCATACAGTGTAATTTAAGGGTTAACATGTTCTCTGTTTAAATTAGCTTTGTCAGTTGGAGAGGACACATCTCTCTCTTTCTCTCTCTCTCGCTCTCTCTCTCGCTCTCTCTCTCTCTCTCTCTCTCTCT